GGGGGTCAAAAGGGGTGAATTGGTTATATTTCTTGAAGTGTCTCTTCTCTGGATCTAAGAGATGGATACGATCATATTTGGTTGGATGCATTATCAGTTGGCATTGGTGGACTAAACATTTTACCAGATGAATGTCTGACCCCCTGGGTGGTTGAGGGGTAGGGTAAATAGGTGTTTTTAATTTGGAAATGATTAAGATCCCAACCCTATAAAGAGACACATACACATTTTCTACGAGAATAGCCCCGGGTTCTGGCCAAACCAATGGAGACTTAGTAGATTTGGATACACATATGAAGGCAGAATTGGCCCAGATAATGGCACTATCCCAAAGATATTAAAGCCATACTACTTTCATTGCGAATCTTTTGCCATAATTGCTTAACTATCTATGTGAGCGATACAGGTCCTCTGGGCCTCTTGATTTTCGATACTCCAGCGGTTGCGTATACGCTCACTTCCGCTCTCTGCTCTTGGAACATGCCATGACAAAATGGAAGGCTCTGTACATGTATGTGCCGCCACGTGGATGAAACAAGTAGACTAGCTAACTCCTTGATCCTATGATATTCATCTCTTCTTCTTTTTTTCTCCTACGGAAAAGGGGGAAATTGGCCATCCTAGGCTGAAGTGAGACGTTATGAAAAGTGAACAAGTGGGCATTTCATTGACGGTCAATACTGACAATACGTAGAAGTATGTATGGTAAGTTGGTAACAGTTCAGTGAAGAAATTATAATTCGGGCCATTTTGCTTGGAAAATAGTTGCAGTTCGATTTTTGCCAGTGAACTGAAACGACATCTTGTCCTCATAATTGCATCATTTAAAGGGTGTTTGTGTTAATTTTCCTACAGCCACAATACGCAACATGGTTCAAAGACAAATATTTATCTCAACGAATACATAATTTAGTTGAACTTGATAAGAGCATGTGAGATGTCTAAAGCAGTGGGTTACAGCCGTGATGTCAAAAGAAAAATGAACTTCAAATTGACGAGTCCTTACCTTTCAGCATCATCACTATTCCATGGGCTACGCTCAATTAAGTTCTCTAGACTAGAGCGACAGTAAGCGTAACCCCTGGTGAATCGAGGATGATCTTTCAGTGAGCTGATTTCTGAGGTAAAACAGTATACAATCTGTAATCGGTGCTGGTTTCAGGGGAGTTAAGGCAACTTACCCCCTCGCGTCAACTGAATCACAGACCCAAGTCGATGAAAAGAAGACGTAGAATACCTAACCAACACAACAACAAAGGTGCTGGTGTAATTATCAGTGTTTGAATGTCTTCCTGATCCGGTCTACATTTACGTGTTTCCTCGTCGATTACTAACGGCCACGCGCTTGTCTCTATACAGGGAAGGAGCAGCAAGCCAAACCAGAGACGTACTGTATATATACTACTGTCTTTATACGTCTCTTATCAAACACAAAAGATTATTGGGAATTTTGTCTAGTGCATGGTATATATAGGTCGTTAAGCTTACAAAGCAAGATCAATATGTATGCATGTACATCGTTCAGATGAAGTGACCTTGACAAATACCTTGACCTTCGCCTGCGAAGCAAAGGTGACATGTAGCGATCGTCCGCACAAACGATTACTCGCGATGTGTCTTGAAGGAGTACTTTTGATTTTCACGAAACATTGAACACGTACCCCATAGTATCAGTTATCCGCTCAAGATAAATTTTGAATCAAATCTGAAAATCAACATGGCTGCCATAGCGGGGCAGACGACACATGCACCCCACTTCCGTTGAATCCTGACCTTGATAGCTTTCTAAAACGATGGGCTGGGTATTAACAATTTTCAAATGAATGACATTGGCCTTTTTCAAGGAGAAGGGGGGGGGGGGGGGGATGTATATTTTCCTAAAGACCGAGATAGGGAGGGAGAGAGAGAGAGAGTGAATCGGAGGGCTCATTGAATTACATTGAAATCCTTTCAATGTGACGGGTCAAATATGATATAAACACTGTAATAGTAGTTTAAAATTGTTATTACTGAATCCAGCAGCAGCAAACAGTTCCACCAAAAACATTAAGTAAATTATCACCGTTGTTACACTAATCACAATCACAAATCTGGTAAATGTTTTGCCTTCTTTTGGAGCTAAAAGGAAACGTTAAAAGCACCGGATGAACATTGAAATCATAAACAAGAAGGTCGTTTGCAATGCACTTTGCTTTACATGATGAGAAAAGCAAAGTAATTTAATCGATCGCCAATGAACCTGGATAGGACGTTTGGCGTGCAGTCACAATGGCAGACTTTTGAAGATATTGAGAAAATTAGGCAGTAAAACGATGCCCTTTTGACATGCATATCATGACAAATCACACATATACAAAAGCTGTCTACTTTAACACTGTGACGTGTACGGTATACGAACAGGGAGACTAAATAGCTGTACCATGATTTGATTCGGTATACAAGTAAAACTGTGCATTTCTATAATCACTTGAATATCAATTAAGCTTTCATTCCCGTACCTGGCCTTGGAATGTGTCCTTTTGTGATCGTATTTCCCACACAGCACACAGATTATGGAATACGGATATAAATCAAAACGCAAGACTTCAATTTCTGAATATTTAAGCAACAAGGAAACTTTTATGATCTTTGTTATTTATGTATTCACCGACAAACACAGGTAGAGATAAGCACATGTATACAGATAACACATGTATACACTCGTGCAGAAGACACGTGAGTACAGTCACTGTGCTAACATAAACACCCGGACGTTATATCAATGTAGATAAGCTGTAGATGTCTCTTTTAATTTACATTTGAAGCTTAAACTTGACGTGTGGATATGATTAACGTTGTAACCAAATATATCCGCCCCATATTGTTCGCCCGTACCTAGCTCTGTCCACAATGAACCCGCACAGACCGGCTAATTATAGCTCAGATCTCGTGCGATCTGATCAATCGATGTGCTTTTACAGTCAGCAGCGATCGAGTTACATTCGACCACCACCCGTTTGTGAATGACGGGAATACCGGCGACATATTTTAATTGTTCATGCAACGAGTCCAGTGAAGCCGAACCATCACATTGGAGTTGCGTACACATACGTATAAACCTGCTGTATCGCATGACGTTTGTAGGTATAACCTCAAGTAACCCTGCCAACAGGAAGCGGGTAGTACAGATATGCCTTCCTGCTGCCAGCATGTGCGTCGGGAGTTTGAGCTGATGAACTTGGGGTTCGGTGGCGTGCGCCCGAACGACTTCACGCGCTTCCACGTAAGTGACACCGGCCTGTCTAAGCGCAGGTTGTTTATATGTACACAAAGGTGGAGTTGTTGGCTTGATAACTGCTAGCGACTTTATAAATGCTTGTATTGTCTCGATACAGAACCTGTGCTGATTACATGTTCAGGGCTATGTAGTGTTGTAAAATATATATATCCAGCATCGATTCAATACAACATGTGGTAATGCACAACTGCATGTGTGTCTTTTTAACATGCACTGCAAACACTGGTAGACAAAAGCAAAAAATCCATACCTCATAATATTACTGTATGTTCATCCCAACAGATATGCAAATATACGTATACATTTGTATCTTGATCAGCAACATTTAACAGCGATACTGTAGAGGAAGGAAGTATTGTATGTTTTGATTTGGCATGTAATCGATTGCAACTGACCGCTACATTTGTGGCAAAGTGGTCAATACTATCACGACTAGGCCTAATACGTCACGTGTCACAGTTTGAAGAAGCTTGTATACGTGAAGGTTACCATGACAACTCCTGTGAGATTACTAGGGTCGTGAGGTTCACTTTCGGGATGCAGTGGTGTGTAGCATTGTATCCCATTATCCATATAGTATGCCATTGAGAATTAGTGTGTCGGTGGTCGACGATCGACGCTCCATCCACAAGTCGATATTCAATCATTCATGTATGGGACATGTTGCAGGCCGAAGCATGTACATGGAACAATGATAAACTGCAGCTTGTCAAGTGAGAAGTAGGAAAGGCCAATTGCACGTGTAAGGAGTCTGCTGCACGTGTGTGTTGGGTAGTGTTGGTAGCACCGTTAGTTGCGCGCGATGTCTGGGTTTCATATGCAAATTTATACAAAATTACTAGACACGGAGGTCCATTGCAAACTATAACTCGGTTTTCTGGTAATTTTGTATATGCATGTACTTTCAAATGAAGCCCATACAACTGTGAGTCTTGAGACAGGAGTCGCAAAAGTATCGCCACTGACAAAATATTTGAATATAGTTCATAGAATAAGCGATATAAGATTTGACATGTATGTTGTTCATGTGAGTATAGTTCGTCTGCAAGAATTCTCTTTTTGACATGTGGAAAATTGACCGAGTTATGATGAATTTACTTGTTTACGATCTAGCGTATGTGTATTGAATTGCACAGTTAACGAAGCGTTATCTATAATACGGTACCATGTCCTTTTACGACAAATTGTCTAACGTTAATTGATACATGTCCCCTACCACGACGTTGTCAAGTCCTGAAAACACTTGCCCCTTACCACTAAAGTACCAAGTCGTGAACATGCATGTCCCCTACCACAACGTTGTCAAGTCCTGAAAACACTTACTCCTTACCACTAAATTACCAAGTCGTGAACATGCATGTCCCCTACCACAACACATTATCTAGTCATGATACAATTCTATACATACCCCCTACCTCAACACATTGCTTGGCCGTGATGACATACTTGTCGCCTACCACAACACATTGACAAGTCATGATACATGCACAATACACATTTCTTACCACATTGATGTACCCTTCTACAACACATTGTCTAAACAATGTAATGTATGTCCCTTGCCACACCATATGATTTATGTTCCCTACCACGACACATTGTCTCTTCGTTTAAAAATGCATGTCCCTTACCACGATGCATTGCAAAGGCATAGCATAATACATCCCTACCCCACCCAACTACAGCACATTACATATAGCCATGATACTTTGTCAATACGTAATACACAAGATTGTTCAGTCGTTTATATATATTAAGATAACGCTTAGATTTGAACTCAATCTGATACCTTACCTACCTTGGACCAAACATTAGTAACACACCTTATTTGACTTTCGGCCCCTTGGAAGTAGCATTGACCTTTGCAGTACGGATCTGAGAGAGGTTCGGTTGTACCAGGCTTGCGTTCTCGCAACAGCTAAGGTTCCATTACTTTATGATGGCGCAACTATAAACGAGCGGAAAGTGCCAACAGTTCCCGATTGAATATGTACACGGATGAGCTCTAACAACTGGCAGACCAAAATTGCCAATATGGAGAAAACACCTAGAAGACAGAGGTCCCAAATGTTTCAATCGGGGCTGCAGATTATTTTTCGTTCCTCCAATGTCCCCTTATCAGCTGATACAAACATTTAATTTTTTCAAGCAATAAAGTTCACAATTTAAAATTCATGGTTCGATATGGACAACTGGATAGTATGAATGTAGCAAAGTTGTAGTCTCCCCCGAGTTCAGAGGGACCTGGTAATTTGATTTTTAAAGATAGATAAGTTTGGGCCTATCCTAATATCAAGCGAATAGTATTAAGACATAAAAATATAACCAATTATTACATCGCTTGTTAAGTGTTTAATTCGTTTAGGATTCATACTACTAATTGGATGTAATTGGTGTTGTAGTTTCCATGGCCTCCCCTACTGTACGTGGTGTACCGAGTGGCACTGGCGCTTTACGCCTTGTTCTGGCTGCTTGTAACTGGTATGGAGTTTACGGCTAAGACGGCCCACAACGACCGGATCCACTCATGGCCCGTGTACTTGTCTCACTGGGCGTACCTGATTTTGACTTTGTACCTGCTCTTGTACGCATTGGCTGTGTCCTTCCACGTTTGTCGCCGACCAAAATACTTTTGGAGAGTTCCGTCGAGTGATACTAAAACGGACGTCTCGCAGGAACATACAAATGGAACCCTCTTAACAGAAGCAACACGTTCTTCAGAAGTTTCTCCTGAATTGAATAATACGGAACATCCTTTGGTATCAATCCAGCCTCCTAAAGAGAAGACATTACAATGGTACTTTAAGGTCACGTGGGCCCTGTATGGCGTGGTCTCTAACGCCGCAGCCATGGTCACGCTGGTCTTCTTTTTATACTTGTGGCCGAAGATGAGTTACAATGAAGGCGTCAGCAACATGAACCTCCAGACTCACGCCATCAATTTTGTCATAGTAGGACTTGATCATGTGCTCGGTCCGATTCCGGTGCGAATGTTGCACGCTTTGTACAGTGTTATCCTAGGTCTGATCTACCTATTATTTACTCTGGTTCTCCTCTGGACTGGTGACGTCAGACCCATTTATCCCTTCATCCTGGATTGGGCAAATGAATGGCGAACGTCACTTGTGACGTCAGCACTATTAGTGGTATTAGGGATACCTCTCATACATACGTTTTTCTTTGTCATGTTTAAAATCAAGGAATGCATTAGTACCAAAGTGAAACATTGCCTCGCTGAGAGGGAACTTCTCAAACGAATCCGCAAAGAACCCGTCACAGTGCTGTAGTGACGCTTGCCTACAAGTCTATGCATACTTTACAAGTTGGCTTTAACTTCAAACTTGTATCTGATCATGATCATTTTGAATTTCAGAACATTAAGGTTTCATTGCAAATTCTCATTGGTCAATCTTATTTTACTAAAGGAATGCAAGGAATAACGTGAGGTAATTTATTGCTTCATATCTACAGTGTATACGTCATATCCGGGCAATGTGTACATCATAGACAGTTCATAATAGGGAACGGTTATTACATACTCAAGATATATCTAATCTCTTGCATTTTGGAGTTTAAACCAAGAAGACATTTTCAAGGACATTAGTAAAATAGATATGATACTGTACTGTGGTTTTGGCGCTGTACTAATGTTAAATATGTCGTTGACCAATGATTGACCAATGATTGACACCTGCTCACTCGTTAGTTTGCTGTGTCGGGTTTTACACGTGCCTAATGAGTGTGAATATGCACTCACACTTTTTTTGCTTAGAAACAAGAAACAATTGCATTTTTCTGGTTTTGATAAATTGCAGTTACTTCCCCTCGTTCACTGGTCTCAAAACTGCTGGATAACTATATAACTCCCACTGTGTAAATCTTCATATATGACCTTTAAAATAACGAGCAAGATTAATCTGATCATTTATTTCAAAAGTGAACGCTTTTATCTATCAACCATCTTGCAGTCACGAAGAACAATCTGGGGAAAATCAAACGAGACTCCTGGAGGCGACCATGAAATTAAGACATACCATTGTGAGACCTTCCCTTGTAAGTAACGGAACCGAAAGTCGTCCATTATTTCCAGTTATCTTGACAAATCGAGTCACTCTGTCGCTTCAAACCAATAAAAAATCTTCCTTTTTCATTTTCTTGTCGCTTGTAAATCCGCCATTTCCAAAGATTGCTGTTCTAGATTTTTGTCACTATTTTGCGCATTTCTTGTTTCGCATTTATGCAATTATCACGCCACCTTTTCGATTTGTCACATTTGTTGAATAAAATGTTACCTTGTTTGATGCCTTCCTGTTGACACGCGCAGCGAAAATTATTACAGGTCGGAGGCAATCATGGTGGTTTGTAGAGGTCTTTTTAATGAAATAATTTAGGCATAACTTTACTAACAGGAAATAGTGTCAAACATGAATGCGAAAAAACGGTGTTCTGTTTTGGTAAACCACTTTTTTGTTTTCAACCTTTCGCCATGTCGTCATGAATATCAGATCCGGTGGTGATGCATACCGGGAAACGATCGCCGAGTCGCCCTTTGCGAACAAACTCCATATATCACCCAGTGTTAATTTCGCCCTTCACATGTAATAACTATATATTGCATGTTGTGAACTTTTATTCGCTGTCATGATAAATTTGCCCTCATTAAGGAGGGCGAAAAAGGCGAAAGTTAAACAGCGGCAAATTAAAACTGTCCCGGTATACAGTACCACGAAAAGAGAAGCTTACAAATTACCGACTTGAAATGGCAATTAAGTTTTCGACTTTGAAATGGTGGATTTTAACGGGATCGAAAATGGCTCTTGTTGTGGGGGTGACAAAGAGACAATTCGAACAAAATTGAAATGACTGAAATATCGTGTCTCACTTTTCAGCTCTCGGTAATGGCGTCTATAGTTCACAAGTGTATATATGTGATGTCGCATTTCACCACACATACAGCCGTGTACTCGAAAATTGCAGTAGTAATTTTATAAGCCAATTGAACTGTAAACCTCAATAAAATATATACCTGTTATCCGCGGCTCAATCAGTTCGCCTTCCATCGATATTCGCCTAAATAATATAAACCACCACTTCTGGCGCTGTATTAAAGGTCTACGTAACCGGTCTGGTCTATATCCCAAAAAACCCATTAGTAAAACAATTATAGATCTTGTGTGTACACGCTTGTGAAGGGGACTTTTAAATGACAGTATGTTAGTTACATTGAAAACCTGTTCCTACCATTAACAGTAGTATGTTAGACAAGTGACGTACGTCATGCTCGACTGTTTGTTGTCAATACAAAGAGTCATTTGTGTTTGTATCTCTATGACAATGATACAGCCATTATACCTCCCAAGACAACGCACTATCAGGGAACAGATCCCGAGAGAAAGGACCATAATGGATTAAGGACATTGCATATGGAGAATGATAGCTTACTAAATACAAATCAATATCAACTTGCATCGACATTAATTTATTGAAGAGCGTAAGAGGTACACATACCTAACCAATAATAACACTGCATTAGTCTTCTTCTATTACTTCCGTCCAGCAAAGTTTATACATTACATGTAGACCCCCGGGGAAAGTCCCACGGAGGTATTGTGCCCGCATGTAACAGTCTGACAGGGGAATACTCCGGCCGGAGTCAAGAATAGTCTGCCTTTTTTTTCAAGGACAGACTAGACATCCTAAATGTATTGGAGCTCGTAGAGTTATCCCATCATGATCCTAGATATCAACGTGATGTACTAAATTGCACACATCAACCAACAATGTTGTAATAAACCAAACATGTAAAGAAGATTTTCCATATCGGAAAACTCTCCGTGTTTTTTCGTCAAACTGTTACAGCAATCAAAGCGTGATGTCAAAGTAAAACTATGTCGGAAATTCCCGAACGATATCCAAATGATGATTACCGCCAGATGGGGTTGGTAGGCATATAAAACAGACTAAAATGACTGTTCAATAGTTTGTTTATAACGTTCGTTTAAAATTATGCAGAGCCGAACGAAACCACATATAGTAGTAACACATACTCTTCAAGATGCACTACCTTACATCACGGAAGAACAATGTTTCAACTGTTCGAATTGGGTTGCATGCAGTCATAAATGCGCATTTCAATCCTAAAATAACTTCACTTAAAAATGTCTGAAGAAGGTATTGTATTTGTGCACTGAACCAGACATCTTATTACGTATTTTGAACTTATATGAAGTAGCCAGTACGTACAGCAATTGAGTGGTTTTTGAAAGAAAATCTCGGGTTTCAATAGAAATGTAAAACCGTAGTCAACGTCGAAACTGTTTAATGTGTAAATTATTAAGAATGAAACTCGCAACGTATCTACAATTGAAAGGGCTTGTATTGGAATCTGTGTATAATACAATTCATATTGGATATTACCCGTGGTCACTGTGTGTACAATGTATATATAAACACGGGAAAGCAATAACTTAATACGGTTAGGTCAATCCAGAGGCACACGTATTAACACCCTGAGTAAACGTCGACAAGGAATAAGGTAAACAGACCCGTCATTGTGGCAAGATGGTCACTAGCTATCACTGAAACAATTCTTTTAAATTTCAAGCAAACCGGTGTACATTGTTTGTCATTTTACATACGATTGTAAGTGAACACAACGCATTGACAACCGTCATTATTGCACACATTTAAAAACGTAAAATTTTGTACACTTGACATACTTTTCTTGTACACATTCTCAAACGTCTGTTGTGCACATTGACATATGTCTGTTGTACACATTCACAAACGTCTGTTGTACATATTGACATATGTCTGTTGTACACATTCACAAACGTCTGTTGTACACATTGACATATGTCTGTTGTACACATTCACAAACGTCTGTTGTACACATTCACAAACGTCTGTTGTACACATTCACAAACTCTGTTGTACACATTAACGAACGTCTGTTGTACACATTCACAAACGTCTGTTGTACACATTGTCATATGTCTGTTGTACACATTCACAAACGTCTGTTTTAATGTCTCTTGTACACACTGACACACTTCTGCTGAACACATTCACAAACTTCTGTTATACACATTCTCAAACGCTTGTTGTACACATTCACAAACGTCTGTTGTACACATTGACATAGGTCTGTTGTACACATTCACAAACGTCTGTTTTAATGTGTGTTGTACACACTGACACACTTCTGCTGTACACATTCACAAACGCTTGTTGTACACATTCACAAACTCTGTTGTACACATTCACAAACGTCTGTTTTACACATTCACAAACGTCTGTTGTACACATTCACAAACGTCTGTGGTACACATTCACAAACGTCTGTTTTAGTGTCTGTGGTACACATTCACAAACGTCTGTGGTACACTGACAAACATCTGTTATAATGACTGTTGTCCACACTGACACACTTCTGTTTTACACATTAACAAACGTCTGTTGTACACATTCACAAACGTATGTTGTACACATTCACAAACGTCTGTTGTACACTGACACACAATGTTGTACACTTCTGTTGTTCACATTCGCAAACGCGTGTTGTACACATTCACAAACGTCTGTTATAATGTCTGTTGTACACACTGACACACCTCTGACACACTTCTGCTGTACACATTCACAAACGTATGTTGTACACATTCACAAACTTCACAAACGCTTGTTGTACACATTCACAAACTCTGTTGTACACATTCACAAACGTCTGGTGTACACATTCACAAACGTCTGTTGTGGACATTCACAAACGTCTGTTTTACACATTCCCAAACGTCTGTTGTACACTGACACACAATGTTGTACACTTCTGTTGTTCACATTCGCAAACGCGTGTTGTACACATTCACAAACGTCTGTTTTAATGTCTGTTGTACACACTGACACACTTCTGCTGTACACATTCACAAACTTCTGTTGTTCACATTCGCAAACGCTTGTTGTACACATTCACAAACGTCTGTTGTACACTGACAAACATATGTTGTACACTTTCACAAACGTCTGTTGTCCACATTCACAAACGTCTGTGGTACACATTCACAAACGTCTGTGGTTCACATTCACAAACGTCAGTTGTATACATTCACAAACGTCTGTTGTACACATTCACAAACGTCTGTTGTCCACATTCACAAACGTCTGTTGTCCACATTCACAAACGTCTGTTGTACACATTCACAAACTCTGTTGTACACATTCACAAACGCTTGTTGTACACATTCACAAACGTCTATGGTACACTGACAAACATCTGTGGTACACAGACAAACTCTGTTGTACACATTCACAAACGTCAGTTGTACAAACTGATAAACGTCTGTTGTACACACTGACAAACGCCTGTTGTATACATTCACAAACGCCCGTTGTACACATTCACAAACGTCTGTTTTACACATTCACAAACGTCTGTGATACACTGACACACAATGTTGTACATATTCACAAACGTGTGTTGTACACATTCACACACGTCTGTTGTACACATTCACAAACGTCTGTTGTACACATTCACAAACGTCTGTGGTACACTGACAAACGTCTGTGGTACACTGACAAACGTCTGTGGTACATTGACAAACGTTTGTTGTACACATTCACAAACGTATGTTGTACACACTGACAAACGTCTGTTGTACACACTGACAAACGCCTGTTGTACACATTCACAAACGCCTGTGGTACACACTGACAAACGCCTGTTGTACACACTGACAAACTTCTGTTGTACACATTCTCAAACGTCTGTTGTACACATTCACAAACGTCTGTTTTAATGTCTGTTGTACACGCTGACACACTACTGCTGAACACATTCACAAACTTCTGTTATACACATTCACAAACGCTTGTTGGACACATTCACAAACGTCTGTGGTACACTGACAAACGTCTGTGGTACATTGACAAACGTTTGTTGTACACATTCACAAACGTCTGTTTTAGTGTCTGCTGTACACATCCACAAACGCTTGTTGTACACATTCACAAACGTCTGTTGTACAAATTCACAAACTCTGTTGTACACATTCACACACGTCTGTTTTACACATTCACAAACGTCTGTTTTACACATTCACAAACGTCTGTTGTCCACATTCACAAACGTCTGTTTTACACATTAACA